AAGGAGTGTTAATGAGGATGTGGAAAAACAGAAAGCCTCGTGCACTGGCCACAGGAATTTAAAACGTCTCAGCCACTATGGAAAACATTTTCACAGTTCCTCAAAAAGTTAAGCACAGAATTCACATGTGAGGGAGCTAGTCTATTCCTAGGAATTGAAAACAGGTGTTCAAACAAACAAAAAATTGTACACAAATGTTCACAGCAACACGATTCACTATACCCAGAAGGCAGACCAACCCAAATATCCATCAGCAGGTAAATGCATAAACAGACTGTGGTCTATCCGTGCAGTGCAATGTTATCTGGTCCTAAAAAGGAATGAAGTATTGACGCATGCTAGAACATGGACGAACCTTGAAAACGTACGCTAAGTCAGAGAAGCCAGGCACAAAAGGCCACATATTGTATGACTGAATTCACATGAAATACACGGAAGAGGCAAATCCATAGAAACAGAAAGCAAATCAGTGGTTGCCAGGGGCTGGAGGGAGGAGAGAATGGGGTGTGACTGCTAATGGGCACAGGGTTCCTTTTGGAGTGATGAAAAAGTTCTAGAAGTACAGAGTGGCGATGATTGCACACCACGTGAATGTACTTAATTCCACTGAATTGCACACTCCAAAATGGCTAAAACGGAATATTATGTGTCCTTTACCACAATAAAAAGTTATTAAGGATGTACAAGACTTGCACGACACAATTAAAAGACTTGACCTTATCTACACATACAGAACATGACAACCACCAGCTGCAGAATGGACTTTCTTTTCAAGCCCACATGAAACATCTACTAAAATTGTGCATCTGAAGAACATGCACCCAGCCCTCCGTCAGCAGCCTTACTGCCTCCCTCTCTGACTGGAGCTGTTTCTGGGGCCCTCGCAGGCCCCACGTTCCTGAGATGCCGAAGAGCCGCCGAGAGCAGAGGGGAGAGCTCTGCTCCCGCGGGGGGCCTCTGGAGAGCTCACAGAACTGCAACAAGCCCTGGGCTACCTGCGGTCTCCTGAAGCTACAGGAAGTGTGAGATGGGCAATCTGAGATTTAGTGAGGTAAGTAACTTGCCCCAGGCCATACAGCTGTTGTGTGGGGAAATACAGGGGACTCTGACCCAGAACCCTTTCTCTTGATCCTTTTGCAATACTGCCTTAAGAGAGAATGCGGGGATCCTCAAGGTCTATTGGCTGCAGATACCACCATCCTGTCCCACCCACTTCTCCTCTGGGAAGGGGCTGATGTTTCTTTTCAGCCACAGGCAATGATGTGGGGCAGGGGGGTGGGGGGAGGGGGGTGGTGCAGCTAAGGCCCACCCAGCTTAGGGGTATCCGTGGCCTGAGGGGTCACTGGATAGTGGCTACTGCCGTTCTTAACCATGGAGCAGGCTTTCCAGAACTTAGCACAGCTGTAACTGGGTCTTGAGGTTGCCCTCAAGCTCGGCCAAAGATGGGGCTGGGAGGCAGGAGGCATGTTTAGGGCTCCTTTTGAGGTATGCTAGCAACACCTGCTCTCCATAAACAGAGTGAGCCCTCCTGGGAGAACGTTAGCTGGTTGATGGGCAGTAGCTCCGGTGACATTCCCATGGAGTATATACATTTCCTCTCCTGTTCCACGCTCAGGCTGCCAGCCCAGGCAGACACATGGAAGTCATCACAGGATGACTATGCCGAGGTCACCAAGGCTGTCACCCTTCCCAGGCCAGGTGTCCCACTGTACCCAGGCCTGCTGAGGTTGCCATCAGGCTGCAGTCTTCATATTCGTGACCCTGCAGGGATCTGGAGGCTAGGCCTTGGGGCTCTCCGTCATTCAAATTTTAATATCAGTAATGGATACCATTGTTATTCTTATGTAATGACATTATTCATGATAAAATCCTCACTAGGTGCCAGACCCTGACACTTGGTGTTGTGCATATTAATTCTCTCTGTTCTGCCCAGGACACTTGTCAGGAAATCATTATTCCCACCTGACACGCAGAGAGGGCCAGTGTCACAGAGCTTCCACATGGAGGCAAGAGTAGGATCTGAAGTTGGGTCTGTCCTAGCTCTTTCTTCCACTCTGTGCCCTGGGCTTTCTTGATTAACTCCAGAACCAGACTTGCTGGCCTGTTGTCCCCAGGAGTTAATGAAAGATCCCCAACCCAACAGAGGGGCTCTGAGTACTGCTAGGTGAGCAATGACGGGGCAGTGATTGGTAGGGCCAGATGAGGTGATGGGGAACACAGAAGGGGAACATGGAGATGGGGGGGTCTGGGCTCACAGGGCATGCACACCACCAGCTACACTTACCACCTGAAGGAGGGCAAGAGAGCCCAAAGAGGGGGGTCCCCGGAGCAGATGGAGGAAAGAAGAAGGAGTTACTGAGCCACAAGCAAACTGAGGAAGCCCGGGGCTGAGAGAACATAGCCTCATAGCCTGGAGCACCCACCTGTCACATCACTGTTTGCCTGGTGGTGGGAGGTCATGACCTACCATTTGACGGGTAGGGGCTGCCTGGGCCAAGGAGGGCCACATTCGGACTTGCAGGACAGGGTAGCCCCGGGGGTGGCTCTTGTAGGTAGGGGTAGAGCATGAGATCTTTTAGCAATGCCTGGAGTCGACACAGCTGTGGGCGGGGGGCACATCTTATCTAGCAGACCCTAGTTCCCCCGTGCCTCAGCTGTTCTCACTGTCCTGCTTGGGGGCAGGGACCCAGGCAGATCTCAGATAGATAAAGACAGGGCCAAGTCTAGAAGCCAAGTTGCCCAACTCCCAGGTCTGCTTAAAGAACCATGGCCAGCAAGCAGGTGTCAGGAAGGGGGCGGGAGAAAGGGCGAGCCCCAGGACAACATGGGGTGGGTCAGTGAGAGGACACGCCCCTTTCCTGCCTCCCCCAACTCACATGTCCGTGCAGGTCCGTGTTGAGCAGCATCAGAGCACAGGTGAGTGTGTGGATCCCATCTAAATCAGAGATGGTGGCATCCTCAGTGTAAGGACCCAGTTCTTCTCCAAACCCAGTCACCCAACTGTCTCCTGACAGAGCCAACCTGGTAGCCTTGGAGACAGGAATAGGCCAGCCACCAGCCAAATGCACCTCAGGGCCCAGGACCTATGGGATGCTCCCTGCCCCATACCCACCACAGCACCAGAGTCACTTGCCTGCCCCAGGTCAGGGCCAACCCCTCCCCTCAGAGGGACGTGAGCACCCTGGGCCTGCTATAGGCCAGACTCCTGCCTCCTGTGACCGAACTCATCTTGACACTCAGACCCGGGAGTGGCTCTGGGTCCTGGACTATGTCCCTACTGTGGCCTGTGTCTCCTCCAATAAGTGGCCTCGTCCCCCTGGTCCTGGGACTCAGGTCCGTCCACAGGGAAAATCCTGCTGCTAAGTGGACTAAGAGGGCCCCACCCCAGGCCTCCGCACCAGGACTCCCACCGCACCAAGAATCAGCGTCGCGATGGGGACCACGGAGAACAAAACACCACAAGACCAAATCTGGGACAGAGGACTTCCAGGCACGGAGAATGACCACAGGCAAGACATTTGGAAGGTCTCTTGTCCAGCAAGCAGACCCCATTCCAGGTGCCCTAGTTCCTGTATTCCATGTATAGTGAGCAGGACAGAAGTGGCAGTTGGCGGGGCTGGGGGGGAAGTCGCGGCCCCGCGGAGCAGCAGCTAGGGCAGGCAGCCATACCTTCCGAGGTGCTGTCCTCCGGGTTGCACTGGCAGTACCGGCGGGAGAAGTGCGTCAGGACCCGCTCACGCTCCTGCGTCTCCCCCATCAGCGGGAAGGCCTTCAGGAAGGTTCTGGAGGGCAATTCAAGGATGCTGCCGACCTCTAGAGTCCCTCAGTCAGTACGGCTCCTCACCCAGGGCAGGAATCCCCACCACCACCACCACCACCACCACCAGGCGCACGCGCGCACGCACGCGCACGCACGCGCACGCACGCGCCGCACGTAAACCCGCCGGAAGGAGCCAGGGCTCCCGTGCCCCAGCACCTTCCCCAGGATAGCTTCTGGGGTGTGGAGGCTAGGGGGCTTTAGAATTTCAGCCCTCAATGTCCTCCAGGAAGTAGGCAGGGGACAGAGTGTGAAGAACAAAGGCAGATGAGCCCCTCGGCGCTGCCATCAGCCCTTATTCAGGATAAATGCCCACTTCTCTCTCCCTTCTCTCTGGCGAGGTCTGCACAGGCCACACCTGTCCCCCCAGACTGCTCCTCCTCAGTCATTCCTGCTCCTCACCAGATGTGCCACCGGCCAAGCCCCAAGCCCCATCTGGGCCTCCCTCAGCCTTCCCCCACCCCAAGTCTGAGCTGCCAGTGACTTGTTCTTCATCCTTGATCTCAAACCCTCCTCCTCCTCTGCCCTCATCATATGCCCAGCACTCTCACAGCGGCCTCCAGACGGGGGCACCCCTGCACCCCCCGTCCTCCCTGCAGACACTGAGTGGCCTTTCTAAACACACATGCAGTTGAGACTCACCCTTGCTTAAAACCTGTCATTGGCTCCCCAGAGCACTCAGGATAGCACCAAGCTCCTCCTGCTCTGTCCTTCCCAGGACATGTTCCCACCACCCTCCCCTCCCTCCAACCTCCCCCTCACTTGTCTCCCATACCATATTCACACCCTGGACAGGACAGGCACCTTCACGGCTCCATGCCTCTGGGGAGGCTGAAGCTGTCTGCAAGGACCTTCCCTCCTCTCCTGGGCAGCTCTGCCCCCCTCTCCTGGCCCACTTCAAAAGCCACTGGCTCTCAGGGGCCCTAAGAGTTGATCCCAAAACCACAGGGGCTGGGAGATGGGGCCTAGACACACTTCTTGGAAAGCAAAACTGCAAACTGAGCGAATTTGAGCCTCTATCTATCCAGGGTTCCTGAGACTAGTTCATTCCTAATTTCACTATGGTTCATTTGGTTTCTGGAAAGTCCACTTTGCTTTATGCTCTCTCCTGCTGCTCCTAAGGCACCCTGGGCCCTATGAGCCCATCTTGGCCAGCCCTTACCTTCTGAGCCTCCCAAGGCATCCCAAACTACAGACCACGCTCTTCTTCAATCCCAGTCAGTTAACAGCCATACAAAAACACGCTGTCTGCCATCTAGCCCCCCTTTCCCCGCCCTGGTCTCTCCTGTTCCCTGTTCTCTTCCTCCCATCTGACACCCAGCTCTGCCCCTCCCTCCTCTAACCACACTCCACTAGGACTTTTTAAAATCCATCCCCCATCCCAGCCTTGACCTGTCCTTTCTACAAGCCATCCATCCCAGCTCCCACTCCCCAGTCCAAACGTTCCTTCTCCAAGGGTCCTCACCAAGCCCCAGTGTAACACAGCCACCACCAAACTCTGAGGCGGCCCCCAGGGTCAGCCTCACCACTGCCTACCCACTCCCCTGCTCTTCGGCACCACCCATCCCTCTACTCAATCCTCTGAATGACCCCTCACACCAATCTTTTCCGTTGGCCCCACTGCCCACCTCAGGCCTATCCTCTCCCACCTCAAGACTATCCTCTCCCACCAGACCTTCTTCAGAAGCCTGCATGCCTCCAGATCAAAGGCCGCCAGCCCTACCCCCCAAAATACTGCTTTACACCCAATACCTTCTGTGGCTCCCCAGTGCCTTTGCGGTTGAGCCTGTATCTACTGGGCTGGCATACAAGGTTCTCCAGCACAGCACCCAGGCCTCTGATCATGACCTGACCCACTGAACATCTTCTCCCACCACTCTCCCTCATCCCAAAGCAAACTTCAGACTCAGCTCAGGATAGAGCACCTTGCAGCAGACCAACACCTCCCCTGAGAACCTGAGATAAGCCAGACAGAATACATCTCTCTTAAGCTCTCTGGAAGCCACTGGTGCCACAAGGACCACAGGGCTAGACTTCTGGAGAGGAGAGAGCTGAGGTGAGGGGTTCATCTATAGCTGCTTTTTCCTTGGGGGCATTGCTGATTATGGGCAAAGGCAAGAGGCAGAAGACTTGGTGGCTTCACAGAGCTGAAGACACAAACCTGGAGACCTAAGGGACCGTGACTATACAGCCGGTTTTCCCTTTGAGACGTCTGCCAAATTCTGAAGATGTGAGGGGCAGGATGCTAAAAAACTAAGCAGAAAGCCTCTGAGAAGTAAAGGGACTGGGTTTTGTTTTGTTTTGTTTTGTTTTTTGACACTCTTGCCACACTGAGGAAACACAATTAGGATTCAGGACCCACCAAAGGGAGAGGCCCCAGTGAACACACTAGACTTCTAGTGGAAAGACGATGGGGGATCCCTGAGTTTACCAAACTTTGGTGCAGCCTTTCCTCAGCTCAGCCGTGGTTGGATTAGGAGTGCAACCCCTGGCCCCCTCTAAATGCCTAGCAAAGGACAAGGTAAGCCCTCACTGGAGGAAGATACAATAATCTAGAGCCTAATTCTATACAAAACACACAGCATCTAATAAAAAAATTACTGGGTTGCAGAGAGACAGGATGTATGACACAAAACTAAGAGAAGAGACAACAGAAACAGATATAGATGATTCCAATGATACAGATATTGGGATGAGCAGGCTTTGAAATAAGGACTTGGAAATAACTAGGATTAATATGTTCAAAAAGAGAGGGAAAGATGGAGCAAATGAGTGAAAAAAAATGAGAAATTCCCCCAGAGAATTAGAATCTATTTTGTTTTAATTTTAACAAAATGAAAATTCTAGAACTGAAAAATATAATAAAAAGTAAAAATTCAGTAAGTGGACTTAACAGCATATTAGACACAGAAAAAAGGGTAAGTGAACTAAAAGCAGGTCAACAGAAAATATCCCAAGTGAAGTAGAGAAACAAGAATGGAAAATACATTTTTTAAAGTGTAAGAGACATGTGTGTGGGACACAGAAGATCTAACATTTGGGGACCACTTAGCTCAGAGATCGCTGTCCCCCTACACCCCAAGGACCGCGGCATGCTGTCTCCTGTGGGCCCTGCCACCAGGGGCTGCTAGACACCGGGCTGCACTTTATTCCACGCACACACACACCACCACCACCACCCCCCGGAGCCTGCACCTGACCCTCCTGAAGGCTACTGTCTGTGTCCAAACACCAAGAGGACCTGAGGTCAAATCCCGTTTTTGCCATCTCCTCCCTCAGTGACTGCAGGGAATCACTTCACCTAATGGCTGGTTCTTCATTTGTGAACAGCAATAACACCTACCCTCCAGGGGTGTAGTTAGGCCAAGTCGGAAGGGTGCGGAAAGACCTATTGCCTCTGGCAAACAGGAAGCACTCCATGCAGGCAAGCCCTTTGCCCTTCGGCTCCCAAAGCCTCACATCATGGCATTCCCACCTTCCTGCACTCAGCCCACCACAGAGCCAGGACTCACTGGGGCCCCGGGCTGCTGCCGTGCTCATGGCCCCTTCTCCACAGCCTTCCCGGGGAGGTTGAGACACTCGCCCAAGGTTGTACAAGCAAGTTTATGACAGAGCTGGCATGAGAATCCAGGTGTGTGGCCTGTACCCCATGGGGACACCGCCCCATCCCAGCCCCACTGACCTGAGCGCTCGGTCCAGAGTCAGGCCCGAGAAGTCGAAGAAGCTGAGATACTCCCCGGCCACCAGCCTGCTGAATTCATTGCTGTCAGGAGAGCATGAGGTGTCCGTTAGAAGAGAGCACTTCCGGCAACAGGGGCACATGCGCAGTGAGCCTTGGGGCACCCTGACCCACCCATCCGACCTGCCTGTCCCTAGGCTGCCTCCCCCTGCCAGCCAGTTGGGCTCTGACAGTCCAGCCTGCCTTGGGTTGGGGGGTCTGGAAGGCTTCCTAAAGGAGATAATGTCTCTGTGAAGACAGCAGACCTATAATATACGCCAGTAAGAGCCAGGGAGGTGAAGGGAGTAGGGGGAGGGATGATGCAAAGCGTCCCCAGTAGAGGAAACTGCACATGTCCAAGTAGCTATCAGCAGGGCCATGTGGCCAGAGCCAGAGAGCAGGACCGGTGGCAGCAAGAGATGAGGTAGGGAGCAGGGCCCGAGGGCCAAGGGAAGGATCAGTAGTGTTTGGGAAGCGTGTGAAGAAGGGAGGAGTTGAGCGAGCGGATCAGATCTGTGTGTGCAACACGCCCACTGAGTGGAAACTCCTGGGGGCTGCAGGGGCGGGTTCCCGGAGAGACAGAGAGTTTGGGGAGGAGAGGGATTTCAGAAGCAGAATCCATGGGCGAGGGAATGGTGCAGTGCATGACCCAGGAGGTGGGCCTGGGGGGAGGTGTCCAGAGCTGGACATCAGGTGGGGCCGGATGTACCCACATGAGAGATGTCAGCTGGTTAATGATTTGGAGAACGGGGATGAGCCCAAGCGAGAGGAGGGTGCAGACCCAGGACGGAGATCAGAGGAAGCCCCTCTTAGGGCAGAGGCCAACTGAGGAGAGAGAGGGAGCCACTGAAGGGGACTGAGGAACAGCAGCTGGAGAGAGCTAGGGATGCAGTGTCCCAGAGGCCGAGAGAGAGAGAGAGAGAGAGAGAGAGAGAGTGTTTTGAGAAGATTGGAGTGATGAATTCTTGTCGGAAAAGAGAATGAATTTCCACCTGAACCTACCCAAGCCCGGAGCTCTCCCTCCCATTTACAGGAGACTTGGGACTGGGGAAACGGGGAAAGCATGACGTAACTCCATGGGGACACCAAATCCAATCGTAGAAAATTCTTCCTGACAAACGGCTCCATTTCTTCAACAGATACATGGCCTTAAGAAAAAGGAGGCAGCCTGGCAGACTATTGATTAAGAGACGTAAGAGGAAAAAGAGAGAGAGAGACTCAAGAGACATATTGGCCAAAGGTAAAGCATGTATCTTGTTTGCATCCTGATAGGAAGAAGCATTTCTGAGACAGAATATTAAACTAAGACTAAATGTTAGAGATTCTATGGAATTTTCATTAGTTTTGTTAAAAATTATAATGGAATGATGATCATGTTTAAAAATCCTTATCAGTTAGAGACACATACTAAAGTATTTATGGATCAAATGATAGAGTGCCTAAAATATGCCTTAAAATATTCCAGCAAAATGGCGGGGGGGGGGAATGTTGTTAACTTTGAAGCTGAGTAATGGGTTATGTGGAGGTTTAATATATTTTCTCTGTTTTGTGTATGGTTGAAATTTGCATAATAAAAATTTTACTTAAGGAAAAAGAAAGGAGTGGGGTGTGTCTGCAATGTTGAGGAGGGGTAAACTGAGGCCAGGTAGCAGCCACCGGATTCAAAGACAAAGGCTGCTAACTTGGCCCTGGCCTAGACCGGCTGCTGAAGGCAGAGGGTGGGGGAGAAGCCTGCCCCAGGGGCTGAATGTGGAGAGGGGGAGTGGACCGAGGCCACCCAGGGCAGAAAACTCAAGAATTCTGGCTGCCAAGGAGCTGGGGGAGTTGAGGAAGAATTCTTGTTTTCAGATGGGAGAGACTTAGGCACAGTTAAGTGCTGATGGCTACTCTTGTAGAGGAGAGGCTGAAGGACCAGAGGATGCAGATCGACCATAACCTAGGCTCCTGGAGAATGTCATTTGGTTGGGGGTGGGGGACGCAGCCCAGTGGGAGAGGTAGGGCTTCGAAGTCAGATGTGATGTCTGGGCTGGGGCTGGGAGGCAGGCCGGAGCAACGTGGAGGCTGAGAAGGGTAGAGGAGGAAGGGGGGAGAGAAACTAGGGGAGGGTCCCAAGCAGAGCTACCCTCAGCTTTTTCAGTCAGTTTGGACTTGGGGCCTAGGGGCTAGACTGCCCCTTTGCCTTGAGAGCGGTGACTGCCTCCCCATCCCAGAACCTAAATGTGGGGATGGGAGGCCCCCTGGAGGAAGGGCAAAGGCAGGTGGCCATCCTGATAGTCAGAAACACTCGGGGTGTGCCTGCTGATTCCCTCAGTCTCAGAGGCCCTGTCTGTCCCCCCACCCCACTCCATCTCCCGCACCCTCCCCAGCACTCCCATCTGGCTAGTTCCCTTTCCCCAGTCCCAAGGCCAGGGTTGTGCTTTGCCGGCTTCAGCCCCCTGAGCCAGTCCCAACAGACTGAGAATGGGGTCTAATGAGGGCCAGGAACCCAGCCCAGGCCCAGGTTCTCCTCCTCCCTGCCCCGCCCCCCTGCTCTGTCCTCACTACCATCATCATGGTCCCATAACCCAGGCCACATTGCACCCGCCAGCCCTGAGGGACCACCCCGCCACCACCTCCCCTCCCCGAGAGCTTGGGCCTTCACCCAGGCAGCCCAGAAAGGAAACAGATTTAGGGCAAGACCAGGAATGAGGACAGTGGCAGGAGGAGGAGCTCTTGGGGACTATTTGGAGCCCCCCCCAGGCATCAGACCCCCCTGACAGAAGTCACCCACACCTCCTTCAGGCTGAGGAAGACACAGGGTTTGCCCGGGGTGGGGGGTACGGGAGACGACTCACTTCTTGCCTAGCTGCCGGGCGACATCACAGCGCTGAAAGCCCTCGAGGTGGTAGAGGCGGCGGGCCAGCCGGCGAGCAGCCTCACTGACCCCCTGGCACCCGTTGGCCAGTGTGTCTGTGCTGCCAGGCTCCAACCCCTCCGAGCTGCTCAGCTCCGAGTCCGAGTCTGAAAAGCCATCCTTTAGGCTGGGGTCGCTGCACGAGGAAGGTGGGGGCAGAGAGAAGGGGATCAGAGGCCCAAGGTCAGAGGCCCAGGAAGAGTCTGGGACGTCTCCCCAGACCTCTGAAAATCCATGCAGGGGCCAGAGCAGGGGGAGAAGCTCCACTGTATCAGGAGGGAATCAAGTCAGACTTTTAGAAGAGTCCCTCAACGAAATCACTACAAGCTACACAACCCACAGAGCACACCTCCCTGGCCCCACCCGGGCTGGAAAGGCCTGGAAGGGCAGAATGGAACCTCAGGACCGGGGTGGGGAGTCTGGGTACAGAGGAAGGACACCACGACCTTGGAGAGGGCTTGCTCCTCTGGGCACTGGGTTGCCCTGACCTGCTGTGCCTCCTCTCAGTCTGTTTCCCCATCTGCTCAAAGGTTCTCCCAGTTCCCAGCCTAGGCTCTGCCTCACCTGGCTGAGTTCAGCAACTTGTCTGTGTCCTCCTCCTCCTCCTCCTCCTCCTCTTCCTCCTCGTCCCCACCTGGACCCCGGGGTCCGTCTTCATGGAAGCCATTGGGCACGGCTGTGAGAGACAGGCGGCTCAGGACGTTCTCTGATCGGCTGCTGGAGATGGAGCACCGCAGGGGGCTGCCCAGCCCCCCATCACCACCAGCTGCTCCCATGTCCCCCTCAGACCCCATGTCCCCAGTGCCCAAGCCAGCCCCCAGCTCAGGGCTATCACGGGCCCGCTGCTGGATGAGGGGTGTCAGGGGGGCCTCAAAGCTGACGCAGCTGTCACTCTCATCCGTGAGGCTCAGCACGTCCAGGGAGTCAAGGCTGCTGTACTGGGTGCCCCGCAGCAGCTCGGACTCCACGATCTTCTCAAACGTAGCACTGAAGCCATCCCGCACATCTGGCTCTCCGGGGCCGCCCAGCCTGTGGGAGGCAAGGACCAGTCACCATCCTGCTGTGGGGCCCCCCGTTACAGGGGCTGGGACTGCACCAGTCTGTGTCTGGGAGCTCCTCGGGGGCAGGAGCGGGCATAGATTGTGTCCTGTTTATTCTTTCAGCCAATACTTACTGGGCACTGGGTGCCAGATGCTGGGCTGGGTACTAAGGTACAGCAATGAAAAAAGACAGGGGTGGTCCTCCCCAGTGCCCGCCCTGTGCCTGGCCCAGAGTAGGCATCATTTATTTGTCTAGATGAATGAATGGGAGGCCTCTTCCTCCACTGTGGCCCGGGGGCTCTGCCTCCAGGCTTCCCAGAGCCATGTGGATATCCCCCAGCACAACTAGGGTCATGCTGGCTCAAAATTTTGCTGTCCACACAGCCTGGGAGGCTCTCGGCATGGCCGACCACCCTGCAGCTCTCAGGCTTGGCCTCAACGTCACCTCCCCAGAGAGACTGAGGAGGGCAGGAGCATGTCACCCGCCCCAGTGGCCCCTCTCCTTATTCTCCATCCTTAGGGTATCTCCTGACTTCCTCCCAGCCCATCAGCATGTCGCATGGTGTGTTCCCTGTTTCCCATCTGTTCCCCAGTCCCACCCCCCACAAGGCCAGGGAACACCGGCACACAGCACATGCTCAGTAAACCCTGCTGAATGGTGTGCTGGTTGAATGCACAGATGTTTGTCACCCCCCTGGCCCACCACACCACCAAAGCCACTGCAGGGCCCTGGCCTGTCCCTGCAAGAGGCCTTTGGGCTGGCAGTTCTTCTGCCACAGTGCCCTTCCCTCATGCTGAAGCCCTCCTTCCTCATCCCTTTCTCCATGAGGTCAGCCCTGAGCACCCTATTTATAACCGGGACCCGCCTCCAAACGCCTCAGCCCCTTTTTCCTACTTCATTTTTTCCAAAGCACTTACCCCCCCTTCCTACATACTACATAATTATTACTTTTATGAATTATTATCTACCCCCCCAGACCATAAGCTCTGTGATAATAGGAATTTTTGTATGTTCTGTTCACTGATGTATCCCCAGCACCTAGAATAGAGCATCACACGGAGATAAACTGAGGCATCCAGGGAGGATTCTTATCCACGGGGGAGATGCACAGGGAAGACAGGTAAGGAAGAGGAGACACTGAAAAAGAGCGAGATCAAGAGATACATATCTCTGCCCTCGGGGGAGCTCTCATCTCGCTATCAGAGCCATGAATGGTCTCCCTCACCCCACTGTCTCCCACCCTCTCATGCACCTGAGCAGACCTGAGAGGTGGTTCTGATAGAGGCTTGAAGACCATTAGCCCAATCTCCAAACTTCCATCTGCCCCCACCTTCAGCCATCTCCAATAAATATGCCACCTAAACACCAACAGTACGCTCCAAGAAGTCCCAGACCCCTGTCTGCACCCCACTGCCAGCCAGGTGGCTTCCCTAGGACCTGTCTGGATGGAAACACTCACGGCCATGGGATACCTGGTACACACAGGCACCCAACCTCATGTACTCACATTCCTATCCACAGAGCTAGCCACACTCAGCCCCAGACCTGGACGTGCAGACCCAAGTGTGTACCCACAGCTGCACACGCCAGGCACACACAACCCCCCGCCACAAAACCACACAGACCCATGCACATCCACCTGTTCACACACTCCTCTATCCACAACAATGCATAGGCCAGACATACATGTGCATGCCACCTGTGCATTCTTGCTTGTCCAGGCCAGGACCCACAGCTGTGCACACTAAGACTTCTATACACTTTCTTTCTCAGCCCACCCTGAGGTCTTCTAGACATTCCCCTGTCCCATCCCCTCCTCCTCATCCAACTAGCACCTCCAAGACATGCAGGTCTCTCCATCTCCTGCTGACGATAATAGAAATGGGGCTGTAACGCCAGTAAGTAGGACTGAAGTGAGATTCCTGGTAGAACCTCCAGAGGGTACTCAAGTGAGAGGTAGCCGGCAGGGATTAATCCACAAAGCCTACTCTTCTGAGGTCAGTTACAGAATTGGGAGATCTTCATCTCCGGGAAACAGAGGGATGGACCAGATGACCTTCCACATCAAAGCATTTTGGAACTCTACTGCCCAGCCTGGGTTGGAGGGTGTATGGTCCTCTAAACCCACACGGATACAGCCCATGATGGTTTGGAGGGCTTTGGGGGTGGGAGGCACAACAGGCCTGCTGGCCTTTGAAATCTAACGGCTCTATCCTTCCAAAACACCCAGAAGCTGGACAAAACAGGAATATGAAATTACCATTTTATGGAGGAGAAAAACAAGAACCAGAGAGGCTAAGTAGCTAGACCCAGGCCACATAACACTGGAGCAGCCAAATGTAGTGAGCCCCCAACCCAAGGCACCCACTTACCCCAGCTGAGGGTCCTCAGTGTCCAGACAGAGATTCCTGGAAGCACTGTCCCCCTCTGCCAGCCCACCAGCCCTCCAGGGCCTGGACTCTGCAGAATCTTCTAGAATATTTGAGTCTAGCCCCAGGACTAGGCCATTGGTGAAGGAAAGGCCAAGGCTGAGGCCATGGAGGGCCATGTCCGGGCCCTGTGTGGACTCCTCAGTGTCCACCAGAGTGCCCCTCATCTCATGCCCTGGGCTGTTGTAGCTACTGTTCAGGTCCTGACTGTGTGCCATTCCATTCTGGACCCCAGGTTCTTCCTCAGGCTCCAAGCTGGGGTCCCAGGCAGCACCACCTTCCCCAGGTAGTACAGATGGAAGCTTATCCTCATCCATGGTAGCCGCTACTTCCTCCCTGTGCTGACTGCTCCCGGGACTCGCCTAGATCTGGAAGCGAATGAAGAGATGAAGAGGTGAGTCAGACAGGGCAGGTGCTGAGGGGTCTAAAGCCCAGCAGGACCAGCACCAGGCAGGCTGCCTGGGGACAGGAGGATGGCGGAGATGATCTCAGGACCTCCTGGCTGGAATATGGGTTTGGGCTGTGGTGTCCTCAGGCAGTAGCCCCGCTCAGGCCAGCCCCACTCACCTCTCCCTGACCCGCATTCAGCCTGTGTGCCCCAGTCCTGCCCTCCCTGTTACCTCTTACGTGTCTCTGTTGTGCCCTGCAGAATCCACCAAAGCCCTGTGAGAAAGATCCAGGTTGGGAGGAGCTAGGGAAGGGTCCAGGACTTCTCCAAACCCCATCCCTTTCCTGCTGGTGTGTGAGGCAGACAGAACTCCAGGCTGACAGCAGCCAGTCCCCTTGTTTCTTTCCATGTTCTCACCCTAACTCCAGAAGCCAGAAAAGAGTGTATCTGTGGGTGAATGGAGGGAACTGAGCTGGGGCTGCCTTTATAGGGAGATTTAAGAGAGGAGGCAAAGAAGTCAACAGAAATACAGCTTCGTCAGAACCAGACGCCAACCCAGAGAAACCAACCTGAGGCCCCGCGGCGGCCATCCCCAGGCACAGCGTGAGGCGCTGTCCAGGGTGCTGGGCGGGTGAGGCGCCACCCAGGACCCTCCTCGCCTATAGCCAGCCTGACTTCCCCGCCAGGAGCCCAGCGCCCTGGCTGTGCAAGGAGAAAGGAGGAGTGGGCCCGGGGTTCCCCTCCACACCGGGGCCCCCAGAGCTTACCCAGCCTTGAGGAGGGATGCCATGGAGCATTCTGGGGAGAGCACTGGAAGGGGAGCTGGGCCCTGCTCTGCCCGACTCACTATGTGACCGCCTGTGGGTCCAGGTTGGGCCTCCTTACTGCCCCAGCCAGGCCAGCCCCACTCCCCTCCACCCTGCTTTGGGTCTGTACCTCCTCTTAAAATGAGGAGACGCATTTCACCTGCCATCTCCATCCCTTCCCCCTTTTAAAGCTGATCAAAACTGGCCCACATTTCCCAGAGGTTTCCTGCCCAGATGAGAGGGCAGATGCAATGGGATGCGTTCTGGCTCCCCCTCAACCCTGTCTCTGCCCCTGGCCCCACCTAGTGTAAGCTATTTCTGCATCACCCCACCCTACCCATGACCTTTGTTATCAGGGATACAGACCAGCCCCTCCAAACAACTTCCTTCCTTCCTTCTTCAGGCCTCAGCTTCCTCCAATACCCCCAGGCTCTTCTGGAGAAAGGGTCTTGAGGGTTCAGGAGAGTCTGGAGGAGAGGGACCGGTCAGCCTTCTGGGCTGCAGCAGAATAAGTTGCAAGTACAGCAATAAGAATTTAAGTGAGGACCATCCTTCTTTTACTTGCCTGGTCTGAAGTGTCACCTGAGGGACTTGTTAAAATACAGATTATGAGACCTTCCCCCAAACCTCCTAAACTAGAATCTATAGGGGTCAGATATAGCACTCTGTTATTGTTTTTAAAGAGTTTAGTAAACAGGGGCGCCTGGGTGGCTCAGTTGGTTAAGCGACTGCCTTCGGCTCAGGTCATGATCCTGGAGTCCCGGGATCGAGTCCCGCATCGGGCTCCCT